GCCTCTTTCGGGTCTTAAAAATTGTTTAAAAAATTAATAAATAATTTTTATCATGAGAACTCTTCGGAACTCGTTAGGATACATCCGTAGCTACACGACAAGCACCATAAGTCTTATAGAACTGTTTGATTTCGACCAGCATATCACCTGTACGTGTTAATATATACCGTTTTCGGACAGTTTATTTGGTTTTTTGGCCAGAACTATTGCTGTATTAAGTTTTAACGATAGAACTCTTTGGTTTCTTGTACTTTACACCTCATACGTTCGAAATCCGGTGAAATACTGGATGGTAAGACGGGAAGTTAGCATCTCATTTTTTAAATCGCTTTTTCTGGACGTAATTCGATAGAACTATTGATAAAACCGATATACATATATACTTTTTATTGTTTATTGTTTCGGTTATGATAATGCGACATTTCTATTAAAATTATGCAATTGTTCTGTCCACTAAAGGCCATGGCACACATCTTCCGTAACAGTAACCATAAGACGTAAGAATCAGCCAATCACAGTCAAGAATTCTTTTGAACTCTTAATTCTAATTGGCTGATTCTTACGGTACGTCTTATGATTACTGTTATGGAAGGTGTGTGCCATGGCCTTAAGACTTTACTGCATGATAATCTAATTGAAATACCATTCGTTGTTTTTATATATACAGGGTGTCCCATTTTAAATGATCCAGCCAAATATCTCGAAAACTAAACCCAGTAGACAAAAATGTTTCAGACAAAAGTTATTTGACTCGAAAGGGGACATAAGATGATGCCATCGATTTGACCTTGGATAGTTCTCTGAAGGTCACGTGAAGGTCACCTTTAATTTTTTAAATGGAACCCCTTATTTCTCATTGCACATTCTTACAGCTCATCTCGAGAGCTTTCCAAAACACTATAATTAAGTTAATTTTCTTTAAGTACTAATTAAGTTATAAAGCAAGATCGGGACTGATCCGGCCGATTAAAGCAAGATCGGGGCTGATCCGGCCGACTAAAGCAAGATTGGGGCTGATCCGGCCGATTAAAGCAAGATCGGGGCTGATCCGGCCGACTAAAGCAAGATCGAAACTGATCCGACCGATTAAAGCAAGATCGGGGCTGATCCGGCCGACTAAAGACGTCTTATAAGTTAGCGGAATAAAGTGAGCGGAATCGATTCTAACTAACATTTTTATTTGTTGCTCATTTGTTGCTAAAAAGTTGCCAAAGAAAAAAATTTGTTGCGCTCTGTCGGTTTATTTAAAAAAACGATGTTTTGCTAAAAAAAGGAAGATTCAGTTCCGCTAACTGAATCTTCCTTTTTAGCGAAACATTGTTTTTTTAAATAAACCGACAGAGCAACAAATAAAAATGTTTGTTAGAATCGATTCCGCTCACTTTGTTTCGCTAACTTATAAGACGTCGACTAAAGCAAGATCGGGGCTGATCCGGCCTCAGGAGCGTCCGTGACAAATACATTAGGCCCGTATCTTCCATGAAATTTTTAATTATTTAGCGAAACTTTTTTTGCTAAATAATTATTACATTTACAAATAATAACTTTTATATTTATGAATTTAACGTACAAAAATTTATTATTAAAATATTAAATAGGATCAGTTTCGATCTTGCTTTAGTCGGCCGGATCAGCCCCGATCTTGCTTTAATCGGCCGGATCAGCCCCAATCTTACTAATCATTTTTAGAAATATTAATATTTATTCCCTAAAGTTTAGATGAGATTTATTCCTTTTCACTGTTATAACTTAACTAGTACTTAACGAAAATTAACTTAATTATAGTGTTTTGGAAAGCTCTCGAGATGAGCTGTTAGAATGTGCAATGAGAAATAAGGGGTTCCATTTAAAAAATTAAAGGTGACCTTCACGTGACCTTCAGAGAACTATCCAAGGTCAAATCGATGGCATCATCTTATGTCCCCTTTCGAGTCAAATAACTTTTGTCTGAAACATTTTTGTCTACTGGGTTTAGTTTTCGAGATATTTGGCTGGATCATTTAAAATGGGACACCCTGTATATATAAAAACAACGAATGGTATTTCAATTAGATTATCATGCAGTAAAGTCTTAAGGCCATGGCACACACCTTCCATAACAGTAATCATAAGACGTACCGTAAGAATCAGCCAATTAGAATTAAGAGTTCAAAAGAATTCTTGACTGTAATTGGCTAATTCTTACGTCTTATGGTTACTGTTACGGAAGGTGTGTGCCATGGCCTTTAGTGGACAGAACAATTGCATAATTTTAATAGAAATGTCGCATTATCATAACCGAAACAATAAATAATTTACAACGCAAATTTGTTTACTCTCGCTAAGTGTGATTATTTATGAGACTTGCCTTAAATCCGCTTGCCTTGTTCCAAATCTTATTCAGGTTTTACCAAAGTCAATCTGCTTGCGTGCGTTTTCGATACTTTGTAAGTTCAACGACATCAAAGTGAATATTGTACTTGTTATCACATTTTAAGCACATTTAGCAAAGAATTTTAACTAGTTCTGAAAAATGTAAAATAAATCTTCCGTTGTATGTTCATATTTTGTATCGAAATATCGAAGTGGAACTTAGTTATCAAAAAATACCGATAAATGAGAGCAGGTTGCGGGTATATGGAAACTTCTGATTGATAAAGAACGAAGAGATGGAACATCCAAACACGGAAAGAACAATTTTGCTGAAGTATCTAAAAATGTAGCTAGATATAGATCTGAAAATAATTTTGTTGGTAGCAAAATAATATTATGTAATACGTTCAAGATGGTTATTAGAATGTCAAAATTTTTTTGCAACATTACTGATCATACTTGAGTATCCTTCTAATTATTTTGATAGTCTGACAAAATAATTTCAGATTCTGTATCTATACCTAAATTTTTAGATACTTTAACAAAATTATTCTGTCCGTGAACGATGTTACTCGACGAAGAGCAGAGTGATACTGATCGTGACCTTGTTACAGTGCCTACTCGCACGTAGCCGAGTATCTTCAGAATAATATATTGGCTATGGTTTCCGGGCTCTTCAGTCCCCTTCAGTAGAAGGCAGCATATAACGGTCCTGTGTCTCTCTCTCTCCCTCTCTCGATTTTTTTCTTGTTCGTCTCACGTCGATATATGTTGGAGAATCCATCCCGTTCTCCATTATTCTCTACACGCCTTTGAGAATCGTGACTTTAAACGAAAAACGTATACATAGACGTCATCAACTGACGAAATGCGAAAACGTAATAAACGTAGATAAAAAATTTAACAAAATTGATAATTTTTGTCGACGAGTCTTTCTTTTTGAGAAAATTATATAAAAAACGTCAATTATCTGCTTCCTAGATTTTTTATTGTACACATACGCATTTCGTTATTTTCTTTGAGATTTATACAACGATGTTCTTAGGTGCGTCCAGACATTCAAAGCTTTGATGTGAACCTATATTCATTTTGATAATGTGGACGTAGGCTCGGCTCGCGGCTCGGCTCGATAGTCTGGACGCACCCTTAGAAATTATCTGTTTGCGATTACGTCTATAATGTAGAAAAGAAACGTGACAGATATTTCAAAAATTACACACGATGACGCGACATGTCTCGATAGATCGGAGTAATTCCGTAATCACGGTAGTGTCGTTGCGCTTGGCTTAGCGCCGAGACACTACTGTGTCTCCTGATACCGGTTTATGGTAAAGAATTACTCGTCCGCTATGGGGACTGACCTACTTATTGTTCTGACACTAAGCGTGCGTTTAACGATCGTTCGGAATTATAAAGTAATCAATGACATCGTACTAACGTGTACCCTAGAAAGCAAATCTTTTTTTAACCTGAATTTTTTCCGCTCCCCTCTTTTATAATTATTTATTATTGAGTGAAATAATAATAATCCCTTATAGAAATTTAATACATTAATACTGGCCAATTAATCACTTATTTTCAATATTAAAATTATTGTTAACAATACTTTTAATACTCAAAATAAGTGCAAATTAATTGGTCAACACTAGTAAGAAGTACAAACATAAATGTTATACGATTTCATTATTTTAATATTCAATATTTAATATTCAATATTTCTCGCGAAATCTTTGCTAATAATAGTGTACATTTTGCATACAGATGGGTTATTGTTAATCTTAACTGATGTGTAAGGTTGATTTATCTCAATGTAAGCATCGATATATTTCTTTCTTCTCGACAATTGTTCATAAAAAATAATTAATTTCTACAAACAAAATTTGAAGATCCCAAGGCATAATAAGATCCCGATAATAATAAAACTCGAATATCGATGAAATCTCAATAATTTAACAAATATATTAAGAAAAGTTGCCAATGTGAGCCAACACAAGATGTTTTTTGTGAAAATAATAATCGTATATATTAAAAATCATAAATATTATTACAGACTTTTCGACATCATTATTGTGTTCTCTTCAAATATAGGAAATAACAAATTCTAGATATAATAGGCGTCAGAATCCATAATAAAATAAGAGTTGTCAGAAATGAAAAAGACATCATTAAGCAGTAAAAACTATTATCTTCGTTTGTCGTATCTCGTCGGATACTCAAACTAATAAGGAAGTCACTATAATAAAATTGAATAAAAAACATTGACTCAGTACTAAATTTTTAATAGGAAATTAATTAATAAATAATGTTTTAAGACTTACTTGAGAGCAGATTAATGATATTCTGTACAAATTGATACAAGACGATCTTGTATCAATCTGTACAATTTGTATATGTTAATGTTTAAAATGAGAATGTGAGATTAAGAGAATTGTTTATAAAAAAACATTATGAAGTATAAAAACAATATTTACACAAACAATGTCATTATATAGCAGGTCTAATAAATCGGGGGATATGACTTTGTATATTTAAACCATTCCTTTGTTTTTTTTATATATCAACGATATTATTGAAAGTTATATCGCAAATAAATTCTCTTGCAAAAATTAGTAACACTCATATGAATCATCTTTGCGTTCCATAGGAGGATGCTGCGGCTCCATGAGGAAGAGGACCATCGTGGGCGGATACGCGTTCACCTGGTGGTTCGTCACCGACGTACAGCGGTTATCGCTGGAGGTGATGACTCTGAACCCGGTATGCGAGAGTGTGGAAACGGCACAAGGAGTACCGTTAACGGTTACTGGAGTGGCACAGTGCAAAATCATGAAAGCCGACGAATTGTTGCACACTGCCAGTGAACAGTTTCTTGGAAAGAGGGTTCACGAGACTGTCCACCTTAGAGGGTCACCTTCGAGCTATATTAGGTACGTTTTATTTTATAATTAAGCAAACTATGATACACTGCCGTTTTTTTTTCTTGAAACTATCTCTCGATCGATGTGGTTAATTAGCACCTTTTCATTAACAATTAACAGGCCACGTAATATAAAAACATTTTAATAAATAACACAATTGTGTGTCTCGACCTCTCCTATTCCATATAGAGCTTTCTGATTAATATTAGAATAATTAGAATAATTAATAATTTAATATCTGTAATGTGTATACTCTAGAAAATATTGCTGTGGATTAAAAACCCATCTGCATGATGCTAAATCCACATCATGTTGGTGTTAATGTTAATACTAACACAGTGAGAATTACATAGACACTGTTATTTTTAGAGTGTACCTATAATGTAATTTGTAAGATATGAGAAAGTTTTTCTCAAATATTTTATTCACGACAAGGAAATTGTCGCGCGAAAAATAAATAATTGGATCCATCAAATGAATTAAAATTAGTCTTCTGATGAATTCATTGGAAGGAAATAACGTTTTTTCTCAGGAACACTTTCTGTGGAAGAAGTCTACAAGGATCGAGATCAATTTGCGGCTCTTGTACGAGAAGTTGCTGCGCCAGATGTCGGTCGCATGGGTATCGAGATTCTTTCGTTCACAATAAAGGATGTTTACGACGAGGTTCAATATTTAACATCGCTCGGCAAAGCCCAAACAGCGGCTGTTAAAAGAGACGCTGATGTAGGCGTCGCTGAAGCAAATCGAGATGCCGGTATTAGGGTATGTTTTGGCCTATACGATACATCACTGTATATGAAAATGATAAATTTTTCAAAAATTACACTTATATTCTCGATTATGATGTTAAAAGTGTGTTTTTCAATAAGCTTGGAGAGAGAGAGAGAGAGAGAGAGAGAGAGAGAGAGAGAGAGAGAGAGAATGAAAGTGAGAACGGGAATACGAATGCAGTTATGCAGCAAAATAGCGACCTTTTTTTACATTTACGTTGGAAAAGAAAATCGATTTCAATTTGCAGAAAGAGATGGTATCGCTAACAGTTTTGTACAGTTTGCAACTTGTCAACGCAACTTATAATTTTTTTTCATTGTTTTACGATAGGAAGCGGAATGCGAAAAGTCGGCGATGGATATAAAATATAATACCGACACGAAGATAGAGGACAACGCGAGACTCTATCAATTGCAGAAGGCTAATTTCGATCAAGAAGTAAATACAGCGGTAAGTTTATTCTTTGTAAAATACGCGAGCGATCAATATTTCCAACAAAGTCACTCTCAAAGTATTTACGTATATATTTTATTCTACTTCTTCAGAAAGCCGAGGCCCAATTAGCTTACGAGCTTCAAGCGGCAAAGATAAAACAGCGAATACGAAACGAGGAAATCCAGATAGAAGTTGTGGAAAGGCGCAAGCAAATCGAAGTCGAGGAACAAGAGGTCCGTCGAAAGGAACATGAGCTACAGAGCACAGTGCGATTACCAGCCGAAGCTGAATTTTATAAAATGGGAAGAATTGCCGAGGGAAAAAGGTAAAAGTTTCGCGAAACGGGAGATGTAATTTATCATTTTTGTTTGACGTAACTTGTTTCAATACCATCCATTTACAGAACTCAAACTGTAAACGTAGCAAAAGCCGAAGCTGAGAAAATTCGATTGATCGGAGAGGCCGAGGCTCACGCTCTAGAAGCTGTCGGTATATCGGAGGCCGAACGCATGCGAATGAAAGCAGCGGTTTATAAAAAATACGGCGATGCGGCGATTCTTAACATCACTCTGAATGCCTTGCCGAAGGTGAACGATGCGTTATATTATGGTCATTCTACAATAAGCCATTAGTCATAAATCAGAAGTTCGGAGCTGGAAATTGATGACTGTGATTGGTCAATTTCTAGCTATCGTAGAATGGCCATTACGTTTACACATAGTAATATTAACGCGTGCGTTATTATTGTAATAATAACGTTCCTCTCTTTGTACAGATCGCAGCCGAAGTCGCAGCACCGTTAGCGAGAACGGAAGAAATTGTACTTCTTGGCGGAAGCGATGCGACCAGTGGAGAACTTACGCGTCTTGTTGGGCAAGTACCTCCAGCTGTACAAGCGCTGACTGGGGTAGATCTTTCCAAAGTATGTTCTAAAGTCAAGTACTAAAAGCTTGTTTTTTTCCTTTTTGTCTCTTAAATTCGGTATAATAAATAGAGCAAAATGCGTGACTTAAAAACAATGCTTATTATACGTTTAAGTGTTAATGGACAGTTCGAAACATGCAATCCGTTAATATAATTGATGTTGTTCTATGTGTAGGTATTAGGAAAAATACCAGGCGCAAAGTAATGCCAAGCGATGTGAATCCAAAGACGACGACTAGGTGAATAAATTTGGAACAGATTTGAAGAAGGGGCAAAATCTATACTGCCAAAGGTTTCTCTGCTACTCTGTCATCTATCGACAACACACTCTTCGCTTTTTCCTTTTTCCCGAATTTTGCTCTACCTCAAGTCCACTCGAAGTAGCGTGGCGCAGGCACGCTTTTTTATCCCTTATCCCTCGCGCGAATAAATCCAGTCTACTTGCTCGCGTCGTACTCGCACGTTCCTTATTTTAAACACGATACCATACGTGTGCATCGATAATGTTATATTTGGTTAGTGTGATACCGATGTCATCGTGACTTGAGGGACGGGCGATTAACACAATCTTGAATTACAAATTGGTTACACGAAAATTACATTCATACACAACACAAAAACGCGACAATCCTCCCAAAGTTCTAATATATTTTATTGTTCCAATTATAAATATTGATCGTTTTCGATATTTGTTTTCGAAAAGAAGCACTGCCCATGGCCGTGCCTAAGGATAGAAATGATTAAGATTGTAATGCAAATACGACTACTTGCTACTGGAATGCATAAAGTGACGCGACAATTACACGGTGTAAAAGATAAATATACCACGTGTGTTTTCATTTACTAAAAGGAGTCAAGATTTCAGTAAACAATGTTCAATCGTTTCCAATGTTTCCATAGATATGAATATTTATCGAGTAACATTTTACTGCATAGAAGGAATATTCGCTGTCACAACACGAAGTAAATTGAAAAAAGCGGAAAGAAAAAATGACGAGAAATTGATGAAAGAAAATCACTGGCGTCTGGCTAAATTATACGTGAAAATCCTAATTACGATATACAAAATTTATAACGAATACATCAAATGGAAAATAAGCCTAATAAATCACTGCCGAGACAAAAATCCATTCTGCTTCATCCACAATCGTGATATTTTGTAAAATATTTTTCGACAAATTATAACAGGTACTTTTGTTTTGATAGCTTTTAGAAAATGTATATGTATATCTCTTGTCTTGTAATTCGTAGTAAAAAATCTCGAGAAAGAGACGATTTTAGAAATAAAGGTTACTGAAGAGACATTTTTTATGTTCAATTTTCTTGACGATTGAAAATGAACGTCTTATGAAAAAAATTGTATCTTCTACTTTATTTCACTTTGACTTACTAATATTTATATCAATATACACGTAACTTCCCTTTTTAATTGTACAACAATTATTGTATTATGACGAATTTTTACGCTAGAGAAAGAGAGAAAATTGAGTTATTTGAGACGAGATCCTTTCAAATTTCGTAAAATCATTATTTGTGCTATCTCAACACTCAGTTTATGCATTCCACTTGACTCAGAATACAATAGTCTCCAATTAATCAGTACCGCAATTCAAAGTTTTAATATAATCGATATGATTAAGAGCGTTTCGATATCATTGTGTTCAACATAATTAAGTGATTTAACAAAAGAAAAAATAAATGAAAGAATAGACGTTTGACGCGGTTCAGGACGTGCGATTTGCTGCCACCTGTAGTCGCTGTATATATTTAGAGTCACGTATGTATAATAGAGTATCGTAAAGAGTTTCTATTATCGTGAAATACAAAAAGACGAGGAAAGTGCATCACGCGAGGGCAATTTAAAGAGAATGCTTGATCGTATTTTACATCGACGCGTGCGATGTATATTCTCGGTTGACCACGCATCGGAATTCACAGCATTAAAGCAAAAAGTAATTGTATTCCAAGCTGAACAAGTGCCAATTTGTACGATATCGATTCTTTAGTAGAGAAAACTGGATGATCTGAATAAAAGTTCGATATTATTTTTTACAGTAACTTATTGATTACTATATGTGTATGTAAATTATGGATTTAATATATATATATATACGTATTATCTCGTTTTATCTTTTTTTGAATGTTTTTACAAAACGGTAGTTAAATTGTGTTTATTTTTCTTATATTATAAATTTATCGATTCTATAATGATGTGTTTCAGTTTACGATTAAAGCGACATACTTATAAATCTATGTAAAATGTGAGAAATGTGAAATCTGTACTAAAGTATATATGTTAGTGTAGAGCAGATCATTTCTTATCACTTGTTATTCGCGTCACTCATCATTGAAGTAAATACTTATATACATTCACTATGCATTTAATGATATTATTTTATTTAATGAGTAATGTCACAATTAAGAATGTAATGATAAAGGAATATTATTTATACATGTACAATATATATGTGTGTACGTGTATAAATAATATTTCTCCATCAATCTACTTATATATTTGCTGTTACTGAGAAGGAAAATCAAGAGACATAAAATTTATAGACCGAAAAGTCTTCCCAAAATGCTTAATGCAGTAGATCAGTACAAAAAAGAAAAGTCAAAGCCTCCCTCAGAGATTAATAATAATGCTGGTGATAATGATGATGATGATGATGATGATGATGATGATGATGATGATGAAAAGGTAAAATAACCAATAAGGAATATTTAGTGATTGTATAAATTTAATAATTCTAGTATCATCCAGCAGAAATTTTATCTAACGGTAAGATACATTGCCGGCTCTAATAGCTGTCATAAATTAGCTAAACGGATCTTTAAACGATATCGTTTTTGAAGCGTTAAATTGAAATAAAAATTCTGTAATCTCTCAGAAATGAAAGAAATATCATTAGATATCAATCTATTTTTTAAGGGTTTAGTGGAAACCCCTTTCTTTTCCGATGAGTAGTCAATGCGAGAAAGCACACAACACAAATACATATACAGATTTAGAATAGTTACGAATTTTTGACAAATCCGATGTAATCGGCTACACACACACACACACACACACACACACACACACACACAAACACACACACACACACACACACACACACACACACACACACACACACACACACACACACACACACACACACATATATTATAATCGAAAATAATTATCAATCATCGTGCCAGAATCAGATTCTTGCGAGGCGTCCAATCTGTTTTTTTCTAACAATAACGAATCACGTAGTATTCCCCATTTCTGTCGGACACTCCGAGGTAAAATATTTCTAATAGTTGATTAACAAGATGTTGATTAATGTCTTTAATCGAACATTAACTGACTAATACTGGCACGTACTAACTTTGTTATATATATTTTACTAATGAAATACTTTTAAGGTGAACGCACATAGATGTAGCAGTAAGCAGTAAGCAGTAAGACGTATGAAATAGGCAATTAACATTGCCAGTATATCTATACATATGAAAGATCTTACGTCTCATTACTTACTGCTTACTACTTACTTCTACTTCTATGTGCGTTCACCTTTACACTCTATATACTATATACTAATACACCTATATCTTTTTATCTTCCTCTCTTCTACAAAGAGAAAATAACGCTTAAATAACAATCATCAGGACGTTTCGCATTAACCGTGCCCTTGTTAAGCTAAGAGAAAGATCGTGTTCGTCGTTTGAGTCTAGTTAATACATTGCATTTATGTGATGCATACGATGCATTATGAAAAAATGTAGGCAGTTCTTCTCTATTAGATCATATTAAACCATGTGTTTGGTACTTGTGCGAAAGATATTCTATCTGTTTAGATTTTCTTTGATACTAAAATAAATCACAAAAAGATGCACTTGCAACGATGCATAATGTGTTCTGTATTGTGTGGTGTCTGTACACAGTAATCTGAAAATTAATATGCTCGATTTGAACGTATCGCTTATACGATTGTGCTTGATTCACTTCTGTATGTACAGTCAGCAACTAAAAGGTTGCAACACTTTGTTTTCAATGGATTTCGGAATACAGCTTGCTCACCGAACGATTGGTTTTTATTTATGGATTTATAAGTAAGTACCAATCACTCTGCGAGTAAGCTGTATTCCGAGAACCATTTGAAAAAAGGTGTTACAATCTTTTAGTTGCTGACTATACATATTCAAACACAAGAGCGATTCAGATTTTATCGCTATTTTTTTAGCAAGATCAATGCGGAATTTAATCAATTATTGTAGTAGAATTGTATTCATCGCGTGCGTGAGAAAGAAAGAGAGTGAGAGAGAGAGGGGAGGGGAAAATCAACTTGTCGCAGAAAATCACAAAATAAGTCCGCGGAATATTTGTAACAAAATACAGGAGTTTAATGGCTAATATTTCGTTTTTTTTTTCATAAAAATTAATATGTATAACAAGTATTAATTTCTTTTCGGCTTTTCAATATATAACATATATTTTCAAGTGCATTAAAATTTTCTAAAGAATAATCATATATTATTATTATTATGCAAAAACAAAAAGATAAAAGCAATTGTGTTGTGTGATTAGGTAAAATTTTTTATAATTTGAGTTATAGTCTTTAATGTGTGTTTGAATCGAGAAGTCAAGGATAAAATAAAAAAAAATGTTTTAAAAAATATATTCATAAAAACAACATCTAGTACGAGTGAAAAACATTAGAATCGAGGCAAAAATTTTGTCAATTATCTCGCCAATTATAATAAATTCGCTTTTTTACGTATTACTTTTTTTACGTATACTTGATATAATTTTGCAACTTCAAATCCTGTACATATTGAGCTTGACGTTATTCTCATGCTCATTAAATATGTATATGTATACGAAATTCGATATTTCACATTAGCGAGGTTGCAAAAGTTTGCACTGTGGTTAAAAGCTTGTCATTTATATATAATTTAGTTCGTCGTTTTCGACATACAATGCAAGACGTTTCATACGATTAAGGATCTTTGTGTATAAATTTTGGAGCAAACATTCGCAATGGTAGTACTCCTTGTTCATGTTTTCAAAGAGATTCTCGCGAGAAATTACATTTAAGAAACTTTAAAATTATACCTATATATATAAACCAATATTCATAATCGATTCTTATATTTAAGACTGTTTTAAATACAGGCTGAAGATGTTACGAATCAATCAGAGGGCGTCTTAAGACATTAATTAAGTCGTTGTAATAAAAATGGACTATGAATACTGGACATAGTTACGCACTCGTATGCTTTGCGTGTTTTCTCTCTCTCTCTCTCTCTCTCTCGCTCATCTTTTATTTTAAAATCGTTCTTGTTTTGAGTGATATATCCAAAAGATCCTCGATACAAATAAAAAAAAATTGTAAAACCGCTATGTAATGTGTAGTCTGTGCACTCTATGTGAATTTATTATCGCGATTGACACTGTGTTTCGTGTTTATATTACATTGCAAGTACGATTCTCTTCACTTAATAAAAAAATCTCTGTACCACGTAAGCCATATAAGTATGAGTATGAGACGCGCCAAGACGTGATGTGCCATATATCGTAAATAATTCCAGATGCAAATTTCCGCAAGAGTTTGCGGCACATCTACGAATAACCGACCAAAAGAATAAAAAATATCTTACAATTAGAAGGAAAGTCCATGATTCTAGTTAGAAAATCGAAATTATAC